CGACTGTTCATTCCAAAATCTTATCAGTCCACTGCTGAGTTTCTATACTGCAGGTAGAGAGTATTAAGGACATGATTGTCCAAATATAGATCAGCTGGAAGGGAAACAAAGGAGTAACCAACTAGGGTTGAGGGAGAACTAAACTTCCTTTAGAGAACATCAAAGTGTATGCTTTACTCTGCATTAGTATACTATCTAGGTAAATCCTAGTTCTAGTCAACCAGTGCATGAATGTCACAGTCTTCCTTCACAAAGGAAGTTGATCAATTGAGTTCAGCTTACTTCTTGAACATCGTCAACATGAATTTGATTCAGCCACTAACACGTGTGAGTCACAGGTTACATGTAGAAGATATAGATCAATGTTGAGCAAACAATATATGTTTGTTCCAGAATATATATTGATGCCTGATCTGGGATGTGTTGGTATTGTTATTGTGGTAGTTGTTCTGAATTGGAATTGTACAAGCAACATTCTCTCACAAGTTGGAATTCATTGAGTGTCTACCTTGGTCGATGTCTTGTCAAGTTGCTTTTTGGGTGCCATAACTAGTTTTTCTGCTATATCAGCCATAGAGTATTTTTATGAGGAGAAACCCTACAATGACTAGTTGCACATTAGGAGTCTCTTCTTGACTTTGCATACTCATTGATCATAATTTTGTGTGCACATTAGGATATATTTAAGGACCTATAAATTGTCCCTTTTGTGATTCTATTCCGTGAAACTTGGTTGAAGCATGATCTATTATGAATAGGAAAGTGAATTAAACACAAGTGAAGTTATTCGTTGAGTTTCAAGGAGGATGATTTGTTCCTAAACTGATAATACATCATCAATATTATTCTTGGTCAGATCACATGTAACAGGAACTTGTCTTCTCAATCTTGGTTGTATGCACTATATGTGTCGTGTACATCATAATGATCTCACTATATCTCATACCAAGGAACCAATTTCAGGATAATGGCGTACTCGCATGAATTGGAACCAATATTCACTAGGCTCCCTTATGTTACCTTGGTTGATTCTCTTTTCACTTAGACCGACTGTTAGCATCACTTTTCATAGGGATATCGAGTTGAGGGGGAGATTTTTAGTTTGGTGGGTATCTCCATCAATGGGCTGTTTTGATTACATCCAGACCTATTTTACCACAGGCTGGTATTGTGATGTGTTGATGGCATTACTCTTTTGACTTCTATTGTATGGATATTATTAGTGACTACTTGGTCTTTACCAAATTTGACCTATGGAAAAGCAATGACCATGTAGCATTTGTTGGTGCATCTGTCATGTGCTGTATTATTTTGAGACTTACAAATTCCTGAACTGATGATCATTCATGTTAAACCTTTAGTATCTAGTTCCTACATCTGGTGAGTATTACAGCTTATGCTCCATAATAATACTTGATACAACTTGATCACATGTTCACGTTCTTTGTGTGATTTATCTTTTGAAGCTATACATGTTGCCTCCTTTATATGTTGGATTAAGGTGTAAGAGTGAAGTTAAGGGGGAGAATATTCTGGCTACTCTAAGTGTTCACTCAGTTAGTCATGGTTGTCCTGGCTATTTTTAGACCTCCTCTTTAATTGAAAATCAAGGGGGAAAGATAGTAATTAGCAGTTATAGTGTAATTAGCTTCAACTTATGGGTGATTTTAATAAAAGAAAGTGTTACGTCTACAACCTAGGGGGCGTAAGCTTAAGTGGTTAATAATAGAGGTCTTGCATAAATAAAGAATTCTTTCTAGAACTTAAGGGGAGCAAGCTCAAGTGGGTAATGGCATCGAGTATAAATATGTGGTTATTGCTAATGAAAAGCTTAGGGGAAGATTGTTGGGATAAGCAAGTAATTTGTATTGTGTGCATCTAACACTTTTATTGAGTTTGCAGGAAAGAACTCTTCTCCTTTATAAGTTTTATGAAATTGTAATGAAGTAGTATGACAACACATCAATAAGAAAATCAGTATAGCAACTCCGTAACCCTGTCGGTGAAGCATCGAGTGGGTACCTATGGAGCAAGTTGGACAAGCAGAAAGTTCCCTTTCTAGAAGCAAATTATTTGAAGGCCAGCAGCTAGCCTCTTTGCAATACAGAAACTTGGTGCAAAAGCTAAGGAGTTCTATGATCCGAGTGTGACAGCTGGAATTGCACAATCAAGTGCATATCAGAACCTTGAGATTTAAGCAAAAGGGGAAATGTTGCAACTTACCATTTCAAGGCTGATTCGCGACTACAACAACAAGGCAAGTTAAATTAAATGCAACGACCATAAACTTCACTATAAAAAGGATACCTGAAATAGCTATAGGGCAGACTTTTAGGCAAAACAAAATCAGAGAATGCAAAGGGGATTTGCGAGTGATTTTGAGGGAAAAGTCAGCACAGGAGTCGGTGAGATTTATGGGATCTGATATTGGGGAAATATTAGGGTTCCTATCAGCTGGGTAGTGATACAGAGTGAGCTTTAATCAAGCGGGGAGCTGATCGAACGGGTTTGAGTGATATTATAAATTCTAGAACTTCAAAGTAAAATAATTAGTGAAACGTCAGAGATCCCGCATTGCGAATCTCTGACCGTAGAGTAGTCAGTATTGGAATTCTTATTCTCCCAATACTGGAAACTACATAAAAATTGTGTGTCGTGTTCAAATTCAATTTACAGTTTTGCCGTCTTTAGACCCTTCTCGGGTGTGCTCTGTTTGCAGCATGTGTTGTGCTAGGGAAATTGTCCAGAACTAGAAGGAAGAAAGGACGTCCAAGCGAAACAATCGATCACACGTAGTGGGTCGACATTACTGGGTATGACTTAATTTCATTTTTCATTATCTGGGTTATATGTTGTTCTGTTCTTCGTGTTCTTCAACACTAACTTGCAGGGGAGAACATTGTGATCAAGGAAGAAAACTTGACAAAGGGCTAAGGGTGTGTGAGTTAAACATAGAGTTTAGGTAAAGGATATTTACGTTTAAGTTGTTTTGTCTTGGACCAAAATTTTCAATTCCTACAGGTGGAAAGAAGGGGACTAAATGTGGGCTTGATCTTGGTTTTTGGTTGAGACAAGAGTTGGGCTCAAAGCCTTAATTTTTTTCCTAATCCATTATCCCACCCTGGTCGGTTTTCCAAACACAAACAAGAAAATCAAATTTCCTTTTGTCGATCTAATTCCCTTCCCAAACATCTCTTTCACCTGTTCTTGGCAAAAGGCTCGATTGGGGTTTTGCAGGTGCTCAATTGTTTATAGAAGCAAGGAGAAACGACCAGAACGTCTCACGCTCGATGCACCAACAAAAAGTAATGATAAAACCCCATTAACATCAAGAAAATCATCTATAAAGAAATTACTACTGTCCATAATTTGGATTAAGAGACGAGCCACCCACCAAAGAGTAAGATCTCTTGCTATCTCCATTGGGTAAACGTAAAAATTCTCAGTAAATCTCATACTTTTCCTTTTTTGTTCCATGTAAGACTCTTTCTTCTTGGTCTCGGACATAAACACGATTGATGGATTAAATTTCTTATCCATCTTCTGCAGCTGACAAACCGTAGGGATCTGTCTGAAGCCCCCTACAATTTCACACTAGTGCATTGATGGCACTGCGAGTGGTTTGGAGTCGGCCACCAAAACCACAGTGAGACTCTTGTCAAAACCTGGTGACTTCTGGATCTTCATCAACCATGGCTTCCCTTTTTCTGATAGGTTGAAGGCAAGGGGAGGATATCCCATGTTCTTTCATCTTTGAGCTCATTCCTCCGGTGATCCAATTTCCTTTATTTTTTAGCAAATGGACTAGTAATACGATGTCGAGAGCCCTGACCAGAGGTTGGGTTCTTATTCATTTTATGGGCTAAAATATGCCTTGAGTGGAAGTAATTATGGTTGAATTTGTAGTTTGCTTGGGCCTGGACTTAAAATGGGTTAGGGTGGGATTAATAAAGCCTAGATGGAGAAAATGTTGGCTAGTGGAGCTGAAGAAAAGGTAGGTCATTGAGCAGTGGGGATTTCTCCAAATAGGTTCCTTGCCACACTTGTTTCTTGAGGGGGGGGATGCAATTGAATCATGCATCTAAAGTAAAAGGGAGGGATATCGGAGTGATTGGCAGAGAAAGTTAGGGTTCGAGAAGAGATCCATTGAAATTTTGCGCAGAGATAGACAGGGGTGATTGGCCATAGAAGAGAACATTGAGGGTATAAGGCCCACCTGGTTGAGGATTTGATTTGTACGGCACTAAGAGGTTGCAAGAGATTGAATCTGGTGGCCTAACGATGAGTTAGACGATGATGCAACATCCCGACTGATGGTCGCCTCCATATCTTGTTGTTGGTTCGTTCTTGGAGAGAAGATTGGAGAGATTTCCCTAGTCCATTGTCCCCATATCCGGATCAACGGAGGAGGTTATGACTTGGCTATAAACTACATTCCTAATCAAAAGCCAAGTATAACCAACAATTGGGTGTAGTATAGTGGAAGTAAAGTAATAAAGTTATCGAATCCTAAAATCTCTAGATATACTCACTACAACAAATTCGGCCTATTATGATGAGGCAATTTTTTCATATTAGATACCCATTTTGCCATATTAGGTATAATACGACAATTGGTGTTGTCACAAAGGTTTGTCATTTTATCGCCGTCAAGATAGATCAAATGTGACAAAAATTTAAAATAAGGTTGTCACATTTGTTTACAGTATAGCTGAGGTTTTGGGTAGTCTATTGTGACAAACAGAGATATTATAATGTCATATTTTGTCATAATCGATTGTCATAAAAGGTAACCAGGTTCAGCGATGGAGACTCTTTTGGAGTAATTTATATTTTTTCTGTTTTTTCGAATTCATCTTAGTATATTTCACAATTTAAATATCTGGAATTTTTTAGCTATTCGCAATTTATTTTATGGTCCAGATCTAAACGTCACATCATCAAAACCAAGATTTTGCATTCGGCCAAGATTTACTAAACTACCAAGCCCCAGTTTTATATCCACATCCAAGATTGGTCATTTTAAAAACCCTAATCCTAATCATCAATTTGAAGAATAGTACCCAAGGCTTCTTCAATCCAAAACCTAAAAAAAACCAAATCAGAATCAGTAAGATAATAGAAAAGAATAAGAAAATTTAAATCAATCTCACCACTTTCCTCTCTTTCATCTATCTCACCGTAGCCAAACTGATTGCTGTCGGTGAAGCCTCCTTCCTTCTGACAATTAGTCTCCCTTAGAATCAAAACCCAATATAAAAAAAAAAAGAATCAAACAAGATTAATCCAAAAATTAAAAAACCTTACCAAACCAAAGAGAAAGGCATATAGAATCTCTGGCGAGTAGTGAGTTTCGTCTGTAGCGGTCAACAACACCGTCTGTCACCACCACGTCGTGAGATGCGTCGGTCGATGCAAGGAGATTCGTCGTAGCCGCTGTTCTTGAGGAGATCTCGTCGGGCAGCCGGTGTTTTGGAGGAGATCTCGCCATGTCGTTGCTATTTTAGAGGAGATAGAGAATCGTGAGCAGATTCAGAGGAGAGACGTGGAATCAGAATGAAATAGAAGAGAAGCAGATCTATCATTATAGACGATACAGAGAGGAAGACCAGATCTGGGTTTTGATTTTTGGTGAGAAACGAGAGGGAAAGGTGTATGCTAGCGGCTAGGTTTTTTCTTCTTCTTAAAGATGCCACAAGATGCCACCGTGTTTCTCTTAATTTACTAAAACTCCTATTCCTAAAAATAAAAAGGGCTAATACCACTACAACACCCGAACTATGACAAAAATGCCACTTATGTCCTATTCTTTTTAATATTCCATTTATGTCATAAACTATTATTCCGTTAATGTTGACCGGCGTTGACTGTTAGTATTTAACAGAAAATCCAGTCAACGTTGACGTGGCATCGGACGTATTATTTTTAAATAATTAAATAATAATTAAAAAGGAAAAAAATAAAAATTACTAATCTCATCTACCCAATCCCCCTCCCGAGCTTGCTCCGCCCCTTCCTCTTACCTGACCCAATCCACCACGATAAGTCGCCAAAAACCCTTCGCCATACACAGCCCGTCGACAATCAAATGCCGCCGCATCGCATCCGTCCAGTCACCAGTGAAGAAGATGACACTGCTTCTTTTTTGTGGGAATAATGAAGTCGAAAATGATGGCATCGCCACGCTTGGTTCGAGTGTTATCGCCGGCGTAGAATAAATGGAACTTTGCCGGGATTTTTTCTCTGATGCAAAAAGTACTTGTCTTTCTGTTGTTCCTTAGATCTTCCTTGGCTTCTCTTTTATGTTGTTGTCGCCGCCGCCCGTAGTTGCCGGAGAGGACTCCATTTTTGTCCAAATTAACCTGGGACTTCTGTTTTCTTTCATATCTTTCATCAATTCCTTACCTTTTTTCTCTCTTTACAGCTGAATTCGCCCGGAATCTGGCCTTGGGTTCTTCTTCTTGGTCTTCAACACTGCTCGACGGAGGTAGGTGGGAAGGTGACAATTGCCGGAATCTGAGTTTGCTGTCCTTCCCCATATTTTTAATTTCAAGATCTGATGATGGAGTCTTTTGACCAAGAGTGATTAGATGGCGAAGAAGAAGAACAATATGTTTGCAAGTTCGTCGCTTGGTGGAGGGAGACTCGATCCTCCTACCACTCTCGCTATATCTGTTTTTTTTTTTTTTTTAGACTTTATTTGCTGGCCGCCGTTGTTCATGTCCGATGAAGAAAGGGATGATTCTTTTTTGACAGAGGAAGAAGAAGAAAGGGAAAGTGCAAAGTCAAAATTTTCATTAATGTTGAGTTTACATTTTTTGAGTTTTTTAATATTATTTTTATTTAATTTTGAATATAAAATATGAGGTGTTAATGATGTGGCATCTATGTGGCTGCCATATTTTTTGCCACGTCAGCAAAAGTCAACTTCGCGTTGACCACCGTTTGGTCAACCGTTATCTTTAACGGTCAATAAAATTGACAGGATATAAATGACACAAAGTATCATAGTTGAGGACATAAATGGAATATTGAAAAGAATAGGATATAAGTGACATTTTTGTCATAGTTCGGGTGTTGTAGTGGTATTAGCCCTAAATATGACACTGACCTATTTCTTTTTGCTTTATTTTTTCCTTTTTCTTTCACTTAGTTAGTGGCCTATAACCTATTTGACGAAACCCTTAACTTTGTTTTCTTAATAATTAATTGTAATTTTTTTTCTAACTTATCACCTTAATATATTTTTTTCTATCACGCTACTTATTATTATTGTTATTTTCTTTTTTGTCTTCAATCTCACCTCTTTTGTTTCTTTATCTCTCTGTCTCTCTTAGTCTCTTTCTCACCAGCCACCACTCCGGCTGCACCGCCCTTTCCAGATATGAAGATCTCCTCCCTCTCTTTGATCTTTTCTTAATTACCAACGGATAAAGCTCTCGCTGGTTTTAAATTTTATCTACTTTTTTTGGTTGCGGGCCAGTGACGGGGATGAATGGATGTTGAGTCCAAGCCTTCACCGAATGCAGATTCAGACGATATATAGGAAATCGAAGACACAATTTATAAGGGTCTTCTTAAATTTGGAGGGATTGAAAAGCAGGCAGTTGAAAATTGGGCGGGACTGAAATTTGGGAAGGGAAATAATGTGTCGGCCGGGCCGATTGACTAGTCTAACACGAGGTTTCAGTCTAACACAAGAACATCTGACGAAAATGCTTTTTGCTTTAAAAAATGAAACCACTAAATTCTGACGAACATGCCTTTTTGTCAACTCGTCATGGGATTATTTCTATATATTGTGACAAAATACTTTATCATTTAAACAATTCGGGAAGGCATATTTTGACAAACATAATTGTGACATAAAATATTTGTCACATTACTCACTTTAAATGACGAACTATTCTGGCAACAAAAAATTTGTTAATGATGAGTCTCTTACATCCATATATGGGACGCCTATTTTGACAAAATTAATTGCGACATGAAATATTTGTCACATTACTCACTTTAAATGACGTTTTATTCTGACAATTTTTTTCACACATTAGGCATATCAAATAGGACATATTATTTTTGTCATATTGCAATACCTATTGTGACAAATAGAATATGAAAAAATAAAAAGTTTGTCCTAATAGGGCGAATTTGTTGTAGTGACTATTACTTCACTTCGGTTTTTTATCTAGCCACTCAGCATTTGAAGATAAAGAAACTAAACCACGTTAATTACTCTAACAACTATATTAACTAATTACAGGTTGGGATCTCGCTTAGGCATCGAATCCCCCTAGCCACTAACATGATCGATGTTTGACGATCCTCTAACTTGATTCATTCTTAATTCATAATGCGAAGAGTCCTTAAATAGACCTTGAATCATTATTCGAGCAATCAAGGCCCTCTTGAGTCGCTTGCTAGAGGACCGTAGACTTCTCTAAAACAACCGATCAAAGTGGTCGCCCCTAGCTCTCTCTATCGTGTGAGATTCCCACACAATACAAAGCAAAGACTCGACTCATACTCGTGTTATCAACCCCTTACTCCCAATATAGGGTGTTGTGATTGACATAATTAGATTTTCTCTCCCATAGGTTGATAGCAAAATCAATTAATCTAGATCAAGGAAGAATTGAACATCAAAACATGTATAAATAGGGTATGTACTCAAGAATATCAAGTTAGAGTACTTATACAATCATTCAATCAAGCTACACATGGCTATGGTTCATCAAAACCTGAGTGAAGGAGAACTATTCCATAGATAAGAGAGAGAATACATTATAAAGCTCAAGATCTTCAAACTTCATCTCTAGGATTGATCTTCTAGCTCCAAAGGGGTTGGGTACCTCCAAAATATCTCCATGAACCCTGCTAGGTCCCTCTCTTTCTCTCTCTCTCTCTCTCTCTCTCTCTCTCTCTCTCTCTCTACGACCCTTGGGTGTTTTTAGTTGAAACCCAAGCTTCCCTCTCTAAAAATCGCATAAAACAACTTTATACTGCAGTTTGTAGATGTTACCGTGAAAGGTAGCGGCCATGACATCAACCAAGGTCGTGACATTGACTGAAAATGCTTCATTTTGGCCATTGGAACGTTCCAAATCACCCAATGTGTCAAAGGTCATAGTTTTGTGTCAAATGTCACGGTTGCACATGCCCACAGGACGATGTTGTGCTGCTAGAACTATGTAATTCTCATTGCTTGTGTGTGAACTTGATTGTTTGTTTCCCCAAGCAAACCTAACTCAAACTAGTGCAACTTGATAGACCCTCACAATGGCATGCAATCTTGATCATAGGTAGCGGGACAACTAGCGACTTACGAGGTCAATCAAAGACAATAAATCTGCCAATCACCTCGATGTGAAGCACAAACTCAAGTTGGTACCTTGCCGACTAATGGAGCCAAGACACTTGACATGTGTGTGAAGGGACTCTATAAACATTTCGAATCAATGGACTCGATTAGTGGTGCTCCTACTTCTACGGATGGGAAACGGTGTGGTCTGGTCCAGACCAGACCATATAAACGGTCTATGGTCCAAACCGAGAGGCTGAAGTATAGACCACAGACCAGACCAGATATTATACGGTCCGGTTCAGACCACGCCTGTGTGGTCTGGTCCAGATAGACCACACTCAACGAAAAATGAATAATTTGTTTAGTCAACCACACAAAAAATTGAACCAATAACCAAGAAAAATAATTGTTATTGTCCTTAACAGACCGTTTGGTACCAAACGAAAAAAGAATTCATTTCATTGTAAAATGAATTACCGTGTAGAATACATTGTCAAATGAAATCTTGTGTTTGGTATGTCATATTCAAATCTGTAGAAATAAAATTAATTGTCGCGTAGAATTCATTGTCAAATGAATCTTGTGTTTGGTATGTCATATATGTAAATAATTTAGTTAATAAAGAGGATAATTATGTCATTCTATTATAATTAGTATATAGTTGTGGAATTCATTTGGAAATTCCATCTCAATTGCTATAACTAGTACCAATTCCGTAGAATTCAAAATTTAGAATTGGAAATGAATTCTTTTAAATACCAAACGCAAAAATATTTCATTTCAACAAACAATGAGAGAGAGCCTCAAGAATCAACAAACAATCTCGAAGGAGAGAGCCACCAAGGGAATCCTCCACTGGACCAAGACTAAGATGATTGATGGACACTGCTGAATCGCCCTCGATGATGACATGAAGCAAACTTCTACAAGCTCGGCAAGGTACGGATCTGAGATCCCCTGATACTGAAAACCATAGGCAAGCATCACATGCCCGTCCGGGCCACAACCATAAGGCCAGACGAGCACCCAGAGGCTTGGACAACAACATCAAAATTGACCTTCGGATTGGATTACGCGTAACGCACGTGTGAATCTTCTATCAGTAGAATGAGTTCTGATTGCTGGTATTTTATCTCCACTAGTGTAATTAACAATCTTTTTGCTAATTTGAGTTTGGAATAAAATGTCCCACAAATTGTGAAAAAATGATCATTTGTTATTTTGTTTGTAATGTACTAATGTTACTTTTTATTTAAATATAAATATAAAATAAAGAAGAATTATCTTAAAATAAATTATATATGCATAAATCAAAATCAGTTATTCTTGCTTCTTGGATCCAACTATACCACTTATTTAACCCTCCGGAGGAATGGAAGCTCATTTCATCCTACATTTTAGTACCGGACTCTTTCTCCGCCCTTTTCTTCAACAAACAAGCAGGATTTCATTTGTTTTCGCCTTTTCCGTTGGGGTTATTTTCTCCTCTTTTTCTTTGTCACTTTTTTTTTTCCTGAATGCGAAGCCACAAACAAAAGAGAAAGGAAACAAAGCCCGTCTTCGTTTGGAGCTGGTGAGTTATTATCCAGAGAGGGGAAAGTGTGAGCCTAGTCGCCTACTAAAACCCTTCTGCAAATACTCCATTTAGAATTTGGTAGAGGCATTGGACTGGAAGCTGCGGCAACCAAATGCTGCGAGGGATTGACTTGTTCCGCACTGTTTCTACGGCTGCTGCTCTGCAATTCACGCAGGTTTCTTTTCTTATCTTCTCTTTTTTGAATTCTTCCTGCAGTCTTCCCCTTTTCTTCCGCATGAACGACTTGTCAAATGGCTTCCTCGCTCAGCTCTTTCTGCATTTGACGATTCCCCTGTGCTCTCTTCACCAAACATGGCTGCATTTCTGATTCCTGTCTCTCCGAGTAATTTTGCGAACTGGGTCGGGTGTTTTCACTGAAAATCATTGGTTGTCTTGGTCATTAACAGGTCTAGGAAGTGAATTCGTCCGCATACGGAGACAGGGAAGCTTACCTTCGTATTGTATTGTATTGGAGCTGTAATCGTTGAACGACTGCAAGATGGCTTGCGTTTCGCCATATGGCACGCCTACTGATACTCGAACTCCAGCGAGAATCTTGACGGTTCTCCGAGGGGGAGTGTCCAAGGAGAATCATTTGCTCGCGGGTAGAGCCAGCAGCAGCTCGGTTAAGCTCGCTGATGATAAGAATAGGTTTCTGGGTGCTGGCCAGAAGTCGACTTTCCCTATCATCAGAAGTTCAACTAACTCTCACAGTGTCAGTCCTTATCATAACAAAGACCCTTTTCTGGATCTGCACCCTGAGGTATCGTTACTCAGAGGTGAAGGAAACAGTGCAGTTTCAGTCCCGAGGAAGGATTCTCCATGCGGCAATATCACGGATAGCTTAGTAGATCAGTCTACCGCAAGAAATTCCAGTGAAGCTAAGATCAAAGTTGTTGGTGTTGGAGGGGGTGGGTCCAATGCAGTCAATCGCATGATTGAGAGCTCAATGAAGGGCGTGGAGTTTTGGATTGTCAATACAGATATTCAGGCCATGAGGATGTCTCCTGTATATCCAGAGAACCGTTTGCAAATTGGTCTGGAACTAACTAGAGGTCTTGGAGCTGGTGGTAACCCGGAGATTGGAACTAATGCTGCCAAAGAGAGCAAAGAGACGATAGAAGAAGCACTGAATGGAGCAGACATGGTTTTTGTCACCGTAAGTCCAATATCTAGTACTGCATTATTGTTTTTGCCGCAAACAATCGTCTCTGGTGGTATTTAGGTTGGAAAGTCATTCATTTATCTCAATTGTTTCTTCAGCATCATTCACAATTAGTCTTGAGGCATTTGGGAAGTTTGTATATAACTGGAGTGTGTACATCATTCATAGGTGAAAAACCAAAGAGTGCAAGTTTGGTTTATCTTTGATATTGCTTTCTTCATTGGTGCATTTGGGCTTCTTTCTACATGCAGGCTGGAATGGGTGGAGGAACTGGTACTGGCGGGGCTCCTGTAATTGCAGGTATTGCAAAAGCAATGGGGATCCTGACGGTTGGTATAGTGACAACTCCCTTTTCTTTTGAGGGACGAAGGAGAGCTGTTCAGGCGCAGGAAGGAATTGCAGCATTAAGAGATAATGTTGATACACTGATTGTGATTCCAAATGACAAGTTATTGACTGCCGTTTCCCAGTCTACTCCAGTAACAGAAGCATTTAATCTTGCTGATGACATTCTGAGGCAGGGAGTTCGTGGTATCTCTGATATCATTACGGTATGTTCTTTGTTTCAAAGGCTGGATGATATGCCTAAACTGCTCTAATTGAAAATAAAATAGCTAGGGTTGCTGGAAATTGAAAGGAATTGGGAAATTTAGGGTTTTTGGTAGGTTAGATAGAGGAAGAACCGCCACACCAGTCGGTGATAAGATTCGGGGCAAGGCGCCACAACCAGGGGTTGGTAAGCCTAAGAAATCACAAGGAAATATTTCTTGCAACTCTTGAAAACTCTTATTGAAGTTTGAATACTGAATTGAATAAAACTGAACTACAAGCCTTCTATTTATAGAGAGGCTAGCCCAACAAAAAGACTTCCTTCTACAGCTAGGAAACTGAAAAATGAAATAACTCTACTACTATACTATGAAACAAATAGCACTCATACTTAAGAAATTAAATAAAGCTAATATACTAAAAGACTCTTAAACCAACATGGACAATAATTAAGCATCTCCTCCAAATCCTTGTTGCACAAGGATAGTTGTAAGAAATCATCAACTCTCAATTAACCCGTAGGTCTTGTTTGTAGACCCATTTTCACCCATCTTGAATGCTCCTAAACTCTTTTTAAACCTCCTAATTTGTCTATTGACCCATGGTCCATGTAGAGAGATAATTTGTAATCGAATTAGGTCATGTAGGGTTGGTATAATCCCATCATTCCCTCCCTCTTGGAAAAGATTTGCCCTCAAATCTTCTTGTGACATAGGAATGTGTTCCCACGACTCTATCATTTCCCAACATGAGTGTACTCTTTGAATATAAAGTTTAACCACAAATTCTTGAAGTCTTCGTCTTTCCCTACTACGAATTACTTTGTACGACACTTCATCTCCAATAACAAACTCCATGTGTTCACCAATCACATCATAATCACCCATTTGAGTTGAGTTGAAATCGTAGCATAATCGCCCATCTTTAATGACCAAATCTACTCCAATAGTTGATGACTTGTCTTGGACTCCTCCTAGCAAGAATATAGCGCAACCCAACAAGTCATTCTATTCCTCTTCACTAGAGCAGTTGAAATGCACTTCTCTTTTCCTAACTTGTTTTTCGTCAACTCGGAGCACATTTTCCTTTATCTCTATATCTTCATTGTAATACACAGGCTTGGGTAGAATCTCATCTTCGGTGGTCAACTCAACATGATTTGTAGAATCTTGAATAAGTGGCAAATCTTCTGGAACATCCATTAAACTTACCTTGTCAAAAGCCATTATCATGTTGGTGATAGGCAACAACTTCTTTTCTATATCAAGTTCTGGTTCTTCTTCTAAATGCATTAAAGCTTGAGCATCCTCTCCACAAGTAGCTATAACAAGTTCATCAACAAGAACCTTTTCTTCGACTTCTGGTTGAGAAAAAAAGCAAAGAAACTTCATTCGAAGGCATATGTTTGTCGACTTTGACACTCATTTTGTCATTCTCATCACGAATTGAGCTTGAAGAAGCACCAGTCTGATCAATATCAATGAATCTTGCCTCCTCAATCTCTTGCTCTTCATTTTGAAATTTGCAATATGGATCTTGCTTGTAATAGCTTGGCAAAAATCTTTCATTCATCAACGTCTTCATTGTTTTTCAATCCTCTATAGGGTGCCTTGTTTGAGCTTTAGTTTTTCGTCACCATAAGCTAGCATAGCCAATAAGTTTAGCTGCTACGAAACGAACCTTGACGAATTCGTGATAGTCTTGACACTCAAAAGCAGAATCAACTTTGTCCACCCAATCCAAAAATTCTGTAGGATCACTCTTTCCGGAAAATGGAGGAATTTTAATCTTGATATCTCCATGAGTAGCTCTCCATTGGTCTCCTTCTTCGTCTTCGTTGTTAATGCTAGCACTTCGAACAACCCTCCTAGGTTGACTCCTGCCCCTGTCATGTTGTTGGTTTTGTACCAACTGTTGGATGTTGTAGTAAGTTGCAGCAGAGACTCTTGAAGAGATTGTAAAGTTGGCTCAACCTTTACTTCTTCACTCATCCTTCCTTCTGTTAAAGAGAATGCCACTCTAAAAAAAGTTTTTGTTTTTGTTTTTTTTTAACGAAAATCAACTAAAAATCTAACAAAAACCGGAGCTCTGATACCAAATTGATGTGCCTAAACTGCTCTAATTGAAAATAAAATAGCTAGGGCTGCTGGAAATTGAAAGGAATTGGGAAATTTAGGGTTTTTGGTAGGTTAGATAGAGGAAGAACCGCCACACCAGTCGGTGATAAGGTTCGGGGTAAGGCGCTACAACCAGGGGTTGATAAGCCTAAGAAATCACAAAGAAATATTTCTTGCAACTCTTGAAAACTCTTATTGAAGTTTGAATACTAAATTGAATAAAACTGAACTACAAGCCTTCTATTTATAGAGAGGCTAACCCAACAAAAAGACTTCCTTCTACACCTAGGAAACTGCAAAGTAATAACTCTACTACTATACTATGAAACAATACTTAAGAAATTAAATAAAGCTAATATAATAAAAGATTCTTAAACCAACATGGACAATAATTAAGCATCTCCTCCAAATCCTTGTTGCACAAGGATAGTTGTAAGAAATCATCAATTCTCAATTAACCCGTAGGTCTTGTTTGTAGACCCATTTTCACCCATCTTGAATGCTTCTAAACTCTCTTTAAACCTCCTAATTTGTCTATTGACCCATGGTCCATGTAGAGAGATAATTTGGAATCGAATTAGGTCATGTAGGGTTGGTATAATCCCATCACTGGATCTATTGTTTCTATATGGAGGACACCTCGTGGTTTGTTGAACCAAGCCGTGTTACGGTTGTAAGATGGCAGCTTTTTTTGCTTATACGTGTGTCCATTATCATGTTTTATGTACCAATAAAAGTTGCAACGAAATAGATATATATGTGGCCCAAAAATCCTAAAATTACTTGCCTCCGGTGTCTGCAGCAGCAACCTACAAAACCTTCTCATCAAATTTTTGTATTCCCTTGAAGGCATTGCACTGAAATTTTGCACTTTTTTGCTGTTGGGCGAATGCCAATGTTTGTTGGAGGAGTTAGTGCTTTTGACTTATCCGTGATGCAAAACTTGTTAGCTTTATGTGTCGCTGAATTGGCATAAAAACACTTATGGGATACGGTATGGTAGCGTGGAAGCATTGAAGTCTCTTAACTGGAAGGATTCATTGGTTGGATAAACTTTTTGTTTGTGGTTCCTCTGAATTTTCATATTTGGATTTTAGTGTCATTTTTATGCTTGCCTTGCAGATCCCAGGACTTGTGAATGTGGATTTTGCTGATGTCCGAGCAATAATGTCAAATGCTGGTTCTTCACTAATGGGCATAGGAACGGCAACAGGTAATTAATTACTCTAAACTTCATGGTTGAGTTGTTAACAGGTAATTAATTACTCTAAACTGCATGGTTGAGTTGTTACTTCTACTTGAGGTTGCAAATCCACCAACTGGGCCCTCTAGAAAATTGGATGCTGAATACTCAGTTGCATTGAGTTGAAAGAGGAAGCTCGGGAGAAACAAATTTTCTTGTTCATTTGCAAACTAATGAAATTTATTAACTATGAAACTACATCATTATGTTCACTCAGTTAATCCTATAATTTTCATGGCTTATTTATGACCTCATCAATTGAAGAGGACAAATCATTGATTCTCTACTGTTTTCCTGCTCTCCCCTCTATCTGTCTATAGGTCAAACAAGGGCAAGAGATGCCGCTTTAAATGCAATTCAATCGCCATTGCTAGATATTGGCATAGAGCGTGCAACTGGAATTGTATGGAATATTACTGGTGGAAACGATTTAACTTTGTTTGAGGTACACGTCTCCTAGCATTAGACTTGAACTCCATATGTTTCCTTCTTAATGCCTGATAAAGTTATGAAGCCCTATATAACTTTTCTGGGCCTCTATGAATGTGTTTTCAAGTGAAAAATATTGCAGACTGGAAGCATCTGCCTTTGTTGGCTACACAGAATGAACCAGTTAGAAAATTCATTCAGCTTGTTTAATGTACAATAAACATACTATTACTGGCTAGAATCTTTAGTGTGTCTGACTTCTAACAATTTTTTGGATTGGTGTTATGATTCTCTGTGGGTTCAGGCTGTAGCCTAACTGAACTTATTCTTACTTTACATCTAGAATTCTCTGTCCAGAACATGCCTGATCGGTTGTTACACCGTCCTTTATTCCCTTCAACATTTACAGGTTAATGCTGCGGCAGAGGTTATATATGATCTTGTAGATCCAACTGCAAATTTGATATTTGGAGCCGTCATAGATCCATCATTTACTGGTCAAGTATGTTTGACTGTAGCAACCAACTTTATTAACAGAATTTATTCTGTTCACTCCGCCATACCTAGTTAGGCGGCAGTGCTCATTCTCTTCTGAATTGATAATAACTTGACTTTTCATGGCCCATCCAGGTCAGCATAACTCTTATTGCAACTGGGTTCAAGCGCCAAGAAGAAACAGAAAGCACCAGGCCCCTCCAGGTCTCTCTCTCTCTCTCTCTTCGAGGATAGACACAATTTCTGTAGCATGCTAATACTTTAACCAAAATGCAGGCAAGTAAGGTAGGGTCAGGAGGAGATAGCAAGGATGGAATGAACAGGCGACCATTCTCATTTACCGAAGGTGGTTCAGTAGAGATCCCTGAGTTTCTGAGGAAGAAGGGGCGTTCTCGTTTTCCAAGAGCATAAATCAAATAGTTTCGCAGACTCTCTTTCTCCATTCGGAAGCAGATATCCTTTTCCACAATTCAACAGGGAAAACATCCGCTTAGGGTCCATGTAGTATTGCGCTGTAGGTATCTCTATCAGAGTTCCTCAAAAAGTCAACAGCAACATCTACATGGGTTGTGTTTGATTATATAGCCATCCATAATAAGGTAGGTAATGTTTTTGTTTGTGGTGTATATCATTAGAATCTCTAGAGAAGACCAGTCAGCAGTTTGTACCATTTCACCCTTGTCCTGAATGCTTCAATAATTTCATGAATCTGATCAAGCTGCATTCCTAAGCGGCTTGTACATAGTATGGGCTCTGAGTTATGAGTTATCTTGTTCGAAAATCGTAGATTGGTTTGCTGAGAGTTCTTGTTCTTATACATGTTAGCAGAGCTAGTGATCTGTGTTTATGGAGTAGCATAGAAATGAATAGCAAGTATGTGAAGCTGGGGACTTGCCTGTTATGTAGGTTGCTGTCAGCACCTCTGCGGGGATTTGAGCCAGAGTCTGTTTGGCCTTCAGCTGTGACCTTCCCGTTCCTCGTTTGCCAGTGCTGATTGCTTTCTCGTCTGTAATTTGGTGCATGCTACTGGGTCGATCATTCCTCGATGGGTGGTGGCCTTGACTTGGGCCGTCTTTGTTGGACCCTATCCATCAACATTTGTCTTGTGTGAAATGGGCTTGATATCAGCATTCCCTGTTAATTTTCCTTGCCACAAATTAGAACGTTGAGGGAGAAATCTGTCATTGATATTTCGTTGGCGACCCCGATTTTATGAGTAAAAATTGTTCGGATAATACAACATTGCAACAAAAAATGGTGTGTTCGAGTTTTGGGTGGTACCCTACTCCACGTAAAACTTTTTACCCCCCATTTCAATTATAGAAACCATATAGGTTTTTTTTTTTGGGTGAAAAGTGTCCTTTTACTCACTAAGGGAACAAATAGTGAAACCACCACCAGCATCATACAAAAGTTAATGTGCAATGTCAGAATCCGTAGGACAGGAACAGAAAAATGAGCCCCAATGAGTAAACTATGGCCACGATGCCAAGCTATTGGCCAAGAAATTGGCCTCACTACATATGTGAATGACCCTTGTCTCGCAATCTCACTGCTGGAGCTTGAGAAATGTGAGGACGAGGCTCGCATGCTGGTGATTTGTGGGCATGGCTGGTGATAGCAGGTGAATGGCTGTCGTCGAGTCAAGTTGTAACTCAACTTTCATGTATCCACCATTCTAGTCCAATTATAGTCCCTTAAGACCTCCCCAGAGTTCCGCACGAGTAATCGTGCATCTTCCTAGGTTCATCACCCAAGCCCCTAATAAGCGAGTCTGCCCATCTCTAAGCGCCCCCTGCAGCGATAGACCTTGATGGTCACAACGAATCGTCGAGTTCACTAGTGAGCTTTCTGCCTCTCAGATAAAAGCTAAGATATTCAGTTTATTTGTAATTGAAATCAACATATTCTTGTGAGAAGGGCCAATCGCTATTTAGGTAAAACTCGTCATAGCTAGATGTTATCTTCTAGTTGATAAGAGACGCGCGAACTCCTGGAAGTCTTTACAGAAATTTGGGAAAACGTTCACAAAGGAACACGAGATAACTCTCTATATTGATTGATAAAATTTTTGATGATCCATTATAATGAAACTTGACCCCTTTATATAGGTTACATAAATCAAATCCAAAACTAAGAAAGAAAACACAAACGTAAACAACAAGTAAAGAAAATCCACCCATTACATAGCCCTAATCCTCAAAGGATTTGATTAATATCCATTCCTTCTAGGCTAAGTAATTGGAATTACTTTTAGGCCAAGGACATCTCAAAGCCCCTCCTTCAATCTGCCACCTTCCTCCTAGCCCATCTTCAATCCGCCATCTTCCTCAAAGAATTGGAACAACATTATGAGCCTCTCTTTAAGTAGATCCATGTCCATGTTAGCAAAGTAGTTTCTCAAGTAGTTTGCAAATGGTTCCCTCAACTTCTTGTCCTTTGAATGTGTAAGATGACCTTCTGGTGTAGTAGTATTTGTATTGATGAACTCATCAGTCCCTTCCCCTTTAAAAGGATTTGCTCTCAAATCCGAATTGCTATCCATATATGATGCAAGATAAAAAAACATTGAAGGTTGCACTTATCCCGTACTCGTCTGGCAAACTATTGAGGCTTCCTATGCTTGTTGACATTTTTCATGATTTGCTATGTCCTCCTTTTGATGTTCAATCTTTCCTTCTCATGAAGATTCTTCACAAACTCGACCTTCTTTACTCCATCCAAGTTCACTTGCTCCTTCAATGGTAATGGAGTGAAATCCAAGGGTGTAAGTGGATTGAAACCATACACGAGCTCAAAAGGTGAGTACTTTGTTGTCGAGTGTAATGCTCTGTTGTAGGCAAAATCCACGTGAGTTAGACAGTCTTTCAAAACCTTGATGAATGCTCGAAGCAATTAGGATAGAGTTTGGCTCACCATTTATGTTTTTCCATCAAAAGGTGAGTACTTTGTTGTCGAGTGTACTGCTCTGTTGTAGGCAAACTCCATGTGAGGTAGACAGTCTTTCAAAACCTTGACGAATGCTCGAAGCAATTGGGATAGAGTTCGGCTCACCATTTATGTTTGTCCATCCATTTGAGGATGATAAGTTTTAGAAAACAACAACTTCGTACCTAGTTTGTTCCACGATGTCTTTCAGAAGTATCTTAGGAACTTTGCATCTTGACCAGATACAATAGTGCGAGGCATCCCATGCAACCTCACGACCTCTTTGAAGAACAAATCAACCATAGTTACATCATCATCAGTCTTATGGAATGGAATAAAGCGTGCCATCTTGGAAAATCTGTCTACCACCATAAAGATTGAATCTTTGTCTCATCTTGTTCGCGGAAATCCCAACACAAAATCCATTGATATGTCAACCCATGGAGCATATGGTATAGTCAGAGGTGTGTTCAATCTATTTGATTATACATTCGATTTAGCTTGTCGACACTCCACACATCTTGCACACAGATTCTCCACGTCTCGCTTCATGTGAGGCCAATAAAAATGCTCTTGTAAGAAACTTAATGAATTGTATACAACAAAGAAAACCATCAATCCTCCTCCACAAGCTTCCTTCAACAATAGCTCTTGAAGTGATATTCTTGGAACACACAATTGGTTCCCACGAAATAGATAGCCATCACTCTTCTTGCCACAAATAACGTAGCCAAGTCTCCAAATCTTGAACCAATGCATAGAGCTCTTTATTATAAGTAGAATAGTTAAGCGTAGATGCTAATGCAAGCTAAATCCTTGCTTTTGATTATCAGAGTCCCGCAATTAAGATTCAATCGAAATTAAGATTAAATCCTTTCTTTTGAGTGAATTTGAGAAACTGAAGCTAAAACGGAACCAAAGGTGCAACTTCTCACAAGGGAAGAGGCTCGATTGGATTATGTTCAAAGCTTGGCCATGATTGATGCGATTTAAATCGATACGAAGCACAAATGAAGCTGGAACACAACCAGCAACGCAAGGGTTCGGTGACAAAGTCACGTTTTTTCCGTTCAACCAAAAACTAAACTTACACTGAGGCTTTTGAGACTTTAAATAGAAATCAACAAACTAGAATCTACTTCTAAACGAACAAGGAATCAAATCTAGCTCCAACTCTAACTAGGGGTGTTCAAACGGTTTTGTTACCATGGTAACCGTTTTAACCAGTACTATTTGGATAATTTGGTTTGGTTAATTTAGATAATTGGTTTGGTTTGGTTAAAGTTTTTAACTTGTTTGGTTTGGTTTCAGACACTCCTAACCAGTCAAACCAAATTAACCAGTTAATTAATTAGTCATGTATCTAACATATATTATATACACATACTTAATACTTTGCATAACCACTCAAGAGTTAACGTTCATCCCTTTTAGACTCATAAAATACAAAGCTCAATATTGCTCATATAGTGTATATTTGTATATGTAAAATGTAGACCACAACATATGGACGCCTAATTTAGATAAATTTTATACATTATGATGGATGAAAACTTGAAAAGAAGGTCATTTCCAGCCTATGATAATTGCTAAGAGACTAAGTCAATTTACACAAACACAACAATTCATTAACCCATACCATTGTCATAAATTTTTGTTAGGTGAATACTTCTATACTAATCGTAAGATAATTGTCTTAGTTGCATGTATTTTTGTTAATGGTCAACTATAACTACGTGTTGATTGTTATATTTTATTCATTATATAAATTGCGAATTGTTGCATTAACCAGAAAATTTTCATCGTCAATGATAATGTGATTTTATATTAGTTAATCTGGTTAACCAATTAACCAAACCAATTAAACTTTAATTTGGTTAATTTGGTTGTTGTATTAGTTTGGACGGTTTGGTTATGATATTGTATTCCATGGTTAATGAAATTTAGCCTTATTTGGTTTGGTTATAACCATGGTAACCATTTGAACGCCCCTAACTCTAACAAGGAAAGAAAAATCCAAACTAGAAAAGGAAAAATGCTCGGTTGCTTAACACACAAGGTGTTTCCTTCCTGCGCAAGTAAGAAAACTCAACCTCCATAGCTACTTTGGGGCTTTCGTTTGAAGGTTTCCACGAAGCTTCAAACCAATCGTGCTTCAGTCACTTCTTCTCCAAGTCACCTGCTTCAATCTCCAACACTCAGTTCCCTTCGAATGTAACCCAGTCATCTCGAATAAGCTTTTGAAGTAAGCATCTCAAACGATCTTAAGACTTAACCAAAAATCAGGCAATTACCCAAATTCTTCAGAGCAACTTGGACCCTCTTGTTCATGCACTTAATGACTTGTAATTGAGAAAACAACCATTTAGAGTTGTAAACAAACTCTTATTCTTCACTTGCCAACCTTCCTCTTGCATTTCCATCAACTAAGATGTAAAATATGAACCTCCAAAGTAAGCACCATGAAACGTGTTGAACACTTAGCCAAATTCTTCCCTTTTTCCTTCCAACATGGATGGATCATTTAACAAGAAATTCAACCTTGTTAAAGGGGTTAATTAGGATCATATCAGCTTCACTTAACTTCTCACTAAAGTAAACAATATGCTTCTTCTCGTGCATCACACTCTACTTCAAATGTCTTGTTGAAATAAGATAGCATAAGAACAAGAGCATGAGAAAGCTTTTACTTGAGTAGTTCAAATGCCTTGTGTTTATCTTATCCCCAATAGAAAGCCACATTCTTATTGATGATTGAAGTCAATGGTGCGGCTATGGTGCTAAAATTTGGGACAAATCTTCAATAGAAACCAGCCAACCCATGAAAACTCCTCACTTCGTTGACATTAGTACGCCTGAATATCGTTCACCTTCTCTTCATCGACTTCCGGTCCATTAGCACTAACCAAAAAACCAAGAAACACAATGCTTGAGGTATAAACGTGCACTTCTTGGGATTTTCATATAGTTGTTCCTTTCTTAAAGCCTCCAACACCTCTCACAGATGCTGAAGATGATCCTCCATGCTCTTCGAGTAAATCAGAATAACATCGAAGTAGATGACTACAAGCTTCCCAATAAAATCTCTAAACACATGATTCATCAACCTCATAGAAGTACTCGGAGCATTAGTTAATCCAAAAGGCATCACCATCCGTTCATAAAGACCATGTTTCATTTTAAAAGCAGTCTTCCATTCATCTCCTTCCTTCATTGAAATTTGGCGATAACATTACCTCAAATCAATCTTCGAAA